GCTCCATTGCTCATCCCCAAAAACATGCATTCACTTGTTGCTGTGTAGTAACTCAAAACTAATGGAACTCAAAGTTTTTGTAACGTGCTGAGAATATGCTAACATAAAACTGTCTGAAGAAGTTCAACCATCCATGGGCTCATTTATATGCTTAAACTTGCATGTGCACACAAACACTGTGATCTAGAAGTCTCTTTCTTCAGCCAAAGATCAAAGTGCTTCCTGTCTCCTCTCAAATGAAGTCATCTGGAACAGGATAGTGAATATGGCTCTGACAAGTGCCTGAATGAGACTGTGTGCTGTGGAGAACCAGGTGAAAACTGGAGAATAAGGCTTGTGGTTCTGCATCCCTTCACCTGCTCCCACAAAGATAAGGGCGCGCGGTGATCAAAGGATCAGGGGCTGCTATCACCTTCCGGATATCCCACAAACAGATGTTGCACACCTGGGGCATGGTTAAATAAAGCAGTTAATGTCACTATCACAGTGATCACAAGCTAAAACACAGGGTAAAACCAGTACCTCGAAGTAAAAAACAGTTTATTTTCTTTTGAAGGTTTTTTTATAGAGTAAGATTCACCGCACAAAACAAAGGATATTTTTTAAACAAAATAAAGTGCCATCAAGTCCATCACTGTGACATACTTGGAAATATTTCTCCTCAAACTTTGTTGTTATTATTCACCCTCAAGTCATTCTAACCCTGTATTATTTTCTCTTTTTTTGTCTGTTAAACAAACGGGGATCCATAGGGCAAACTGTCCAAGTTTCTGTTTTCTATCCCAGGGAAGTAGATTTAAGATGTTTTAGCCTCTTTGAAAGAAGTCTCTTATGCTCACCAAGGCTGCATTTATTTGATCAAAAATACAGCCAAAACAGTAATTTTGTAAAATATTATCACAATTGAAAATAATTGATGTCTATTAGAATATATTTTAAAATATAATTCATTCCTGAGACAACACTGGTGTCTTTTGAAAATAAATCCACATGAAGGAACAGGCAGGAGAAACACAGGAGATAAACACCAACATTAATACCGGAATGTTTGCTCGGTAAAAACTACACTGTTCTCAGTGGTGTGCGGTGGGGTTTTTTTTTTTAAATGATGATGCAAAGTTCCCACAATTGTATTATTTTTATTATTATACGTTTTTATGTATCAGTTGCCAGAGTTCGTGCCAGGAGTAACGATCGTATGTCGCCGTTTCTGCTGTAAACTACACTGTTTTTTTTATTTTTATAAAAAAGCAGATGCGATCAGAATATGAACCCAATAAGCTAAATTGCATAAGCATTTTCCCATAAAGAACATACACACACATAAGGAGTGCCAACTGCCGCTAGCCAATAGCCTACTGTAGCCTATATACGCACACACGCGCGCACACACACAAACATTTATTTAGCCTATTTATTTAATGTAAAACTTTAGTTATTAACTAGTTGTTTGCATATTACTATATTAGCTGTTTATTAGTAGGCTACTCATAAAGCACATACTAATGCCTTATTATGCGTGACCATATATTCTTACCCAATACCTGAACAGTAATTATTAACAGTCTATTGAGGCAAAAGTCAATAGTTAGTTAATAGTGAGAATTGGACCCAAAACTAAAGTGTGACCATATGTATGTATGTATGTATGTATGTTTATATATATATATATATATATATACATAATCATCAGACCATTTTGATTGAGACACCTAAGTTTTTATTGATTTTTTATTACTTTTTATCATTGATTGATTTTTTTATTTATCATCCTGAAGGATGACTCATTCTTCCTCAAATCAGGCAAAGATTTTGTACTTTGTTTTATCAACCATTTCTGTGCAGAACACCTCATAATCTTTTTTTTTTTCTCCAAATACAAAAGTGAACATCTCGGCTGGAGAACTTTCTGCCCAAGCAGTTTTGTGTAGGGATTTAATTTGGTGCTCATATGCTTGTTGGTATGTAGTATGCATCATCAATTATTTATAAAAAAATAAAATAAAAAAAAATCAATTTCAATTTCACGGGATGCGGATCCATCACTCATGTTGCACCTCGGTGTCGGACAAACAGAAGAAGTGAGGGCTATTTAACAGCAGCGGTCACAGTGATGATGAGGCGAGCTCCAGTGATCGCGGCCGCGCCTCTTGTTTCTCATGCCCACTCCGTGTGTCTGCTGGGCGGCGATCAAACGGGCAGGGCAGCGCTTTTCACGAGCGGAGATCGCTACTAGACGAATCATGTCATTTGTTTTTTGTTTTTTTTAATCTCTGTTCTTTTGTCGTAAGTTATGCTATTACTCCATTAATTTAAACTAGCATAGGCTATACTGTATATCCAGCGCTCCCCGAACGCAGTCTCTGGCTTTTTGCCAGTCAAGCGCAAGCACGCAGGGACGCGTCTAGAGTAATAACGACTCTGATCTGATCATTAAGTCTTTCCGAGTCACAGGGCTCAAGTCCAAGTCAAGTCTCGAGTCATTGCTGTCAAAGTCTAAGTCGAGTCTCAAGTCTTCTTTAATTATGTCGAGTCGAGTCGCAAGTCATCAAATTTGGGACTCGAGTCCTAGTCAAGTCTCGAGTCATGTGACTCGAGTCCACACCCCTGATATTTGGTGTATATACTAATGTTACAATTAATGCCTCAACTTGTAGAGCATTTACAGCACATGACATAAATGATATTTTCTAACAATTAATGCTTTCTATAAATATTATAAATATATTACTGCTGTTTTTCATTATAAAATAACAGTAAAAATTGTTTGCAACAAAACTTACGAAAATTGCACATGGTTTTGTAACAAATAAAAAAGGTTATTACTGTTAAAACATTTTGCTACACTCACCATAGTTTAAGCATGCTATTTGTAGTAAAACCGTGGTTATTAAAATTGTAAATTAAAGAAAACATTTCATTTCTCTGTGATCCCACATTTGCCCATTTTCATTTTTGTAGTTATTACAAAAATTCTATACTTAATTGAACTGCCACACAAGTTGCAGCAAAATGTGCAAACAACGCAAGTATTACAAAATGTGACATTAAAAAGTGTAAAAGTCACTAGTTTTTATGTATGTAAAAATACAAAATATACTTGTATTTGGCCTTTTTTATGTATTGTTTATTTAACTAGGAAAATGTGACAACAGTAAGTGTAACAGGGACATAAATTTAAAAAACATGTGTGTGTGTATATATATATATATATATATATATATATACACACACACACACATAGGCCTACATAAATACATACATATAGAAGTAATAACGTACTACATACCAGGAAATCCCTAATATGGACAAAAGCGTCCAGCTATCACTGTATGATCTGAATAAAAGGCAGAAACCTTTGGAAACGTGAAGACATTAAACAAATGAATGCGACAATATATGGTTTATTTGTGCTTTTTAAAATCATCTCCAGGAAAAAGTGTAAAAGTCACTAGTTTTTACAAAGTAACTGTCCAACAGCGACACCCGCTGGTAAAGCTAAAAAGAACAGCTGAACATCAGTTGACAAATAAAATATATTGTTTATATTGTTACTGTCTTTTGTTATTATTTTGGAATAAATATGAAAATACGTAAAAACACTAACTTGATGAGATTTATTGGTTTTGATAAACAGAATATTACATAGTGTAAAAATACAAAATATACTTGTATTTGGCCTTTTTTATGTATTGTTTATTTAACTAGGAAAATGTGACAACAGTAAGTGTAACAGGGACATAAATTTAAAAAACATGTGTGTGTGTATATATATATATATATATATATAGTATCTGATTTCTTAGCCAATTAAAAGAAATAAATAAGAGAAAAAATAAAGTTTCCTATATTCAGTATATATATAGGGTATGAATACTTTTGCAAGGCACTGTGTGTGTGCATGCCTTATATACTGTATATATATATATATATATGCGCACCTGTGCGTATATACTGTCTATACAGCTAAGCACTCCTTGTGTATGTTCTTTATGGGAAAATGCTTATGCAATTTAGCTTATTGGGTTCATATTCTAGTCGCATCTGCTTGCTGGTATATAATATAACATTTTTTATAAAAAAAAAAAAAAACAGTGTAGTTTATAGCAGAAACGGCGACAAACGATAGTGACTGGCACGAACTCTGGCAGCTGATACATAAAAATGTATAATAATACCTGCGACCAGGATTTGCGCTTGCTCTCTCTCGCAATCAGGGAGAAACAGAACAGGTGTAGAGCTAATTAACAACCAAGGAAACAGATTAACAAAGGAACTCAAGGAACCGTGAACACAGAAACAGAACCAAAACAGAACATAAACATGACAATATCTAGCTGTCTCAGCTCTACTGAGTTAGGAAGTATTTTATCCCATTAACATTTCAGTGTATTAAGGTTTTAACGACAGCACTTTAAAATAAATTCTAAATGTATTCATATCTGATCCGCTGCCCTTGCAGATAGAGCTAGGTTAAACTGCATGGCTATGGCATGCTATTTTGTTGTTCTACATTATTTAGCTTAATGGACGTATATACAGACTGAATAGGAGAGGACCTAGGATTGAACCTTGGGGGACACCATGTCATTGCGGTCCATTTAAAGTCACCTGTGTTCACACAGAATTCCTTGCCTTCTAGATATGGCCAAAAGAGACAAACCCAGTTTTCCAGTTTGTCTAAGAGTATATTGTGATTGAGAGTACAGCACTAAATATCAGTCAAATCAGCACTGATATTTTACCTTACTCATTATTTAGTTGAATAGAAGCATGGTCTCTGTGCTGTAATGTGATGGGAAACCAGATCGCAAATTCTCCAAGTAACACTTTGAGTTAAATAATTTATTTAGCTTATTAAAAATAACATTCTCAATGATCTCGCCTATAAAGGTTGCAGGAGAATAAGGGCGCACCAGAACAAAATACTGCTTTGGCAATTTCATTATGCAGTCTTGTTACTTGTTTTTTCAGATGTCCCAAGATTCACTGAAGTTATATCATGTCCTTTTTTGCCTCTGATATAGCCACAAGACTTTTTGAGAGTGCAGCTGCTTCCACAGACGTCCCTCCATCTCCATGTCATGGTTAGCATAGAAGACCAGCGGCTTCATCACCTTGTCATAGTAATGGTCTGAGAAGTCTTTGTAATTTTCTGTGATAAAGTCATATGCAGAGACCTGAGGGAAGAGCCAGCAAGCACTACATTAATTTGACGAAACCTGGACCAGTAGGTTTCAGGGCCATTCTAACAATAAATAAAAAGCTTTTATAAATAAGAATTTCAAATGCTGTTTTATTGATAAAAACATTGGAGGTTTGTTGACCTGGTCACAAGTGTAAAGCAATCAAAAGCATCAGTGCACCCATGCTGGGCATGTTCAAATCTCTATATTGCTCCAGCTGTGGAGATTTTAGGAACCTGTTAATCAATAATACCATGGCATTACATTAATTAAGAGAGAAGGAAAAAATGTGACAAAATTATATGTAGTCTAATGTGTAGGAAATTGTTCTCACCTTTGAGTCACATATTGAATGAAGGATGGATGGATCATCTTGAACTGATGTGTTTCAGTATTATATCCAAAAAGTTCTGAGGGCCTGTTTTAATAATCAAATAAACTCAGCAGTTAGTTCGTATGTAAAGGACATAAGCTAATATTGAAATAAAAACATAAAATAAAACTGATAGAATGCCTTTTAGAATTCCAAATGAATTCAAGTAGCAAAAATAACTGTTTAAATTTAAGGAAGCAAAATAAAAATGGAATAAAATGTAAAGAAATTCATAACACATTTCATTGTTCAATATTATTTACATATAAACAAATTATCATAATTTATATAGCCAATTTTCCATAAACATAAATCATTAATATTTGAACTGAAGTGTATGGCTCCCAATTATACAGAGTGAATTCAGGTACATTTGGCCACTTATTGCCTTTATTTTCAACATCGACAGTGAATTCAGCATAGTGATTGTTATTTCTATATTTTAATCACTTTGGAGCATGAGCTTGTATTATAAGTATAATCATTTCTCACATATTTTACACAACAATGAATGACCTATATGTTCTGATATTACTGGATGTAGTAGGCTATCTGTTATATACACATTTATTATTAGTATATATGGTTAGCTCAATATATTAAGTAATAATCAGTAATCACTTTTGGTCAACGTTAATTGCTTTAGGAAACCTGGCCAATTCAAAATTCATGAACTGAAAAAGGAGGAAATGATTACAATAATAATAAGAATTTATTGTAACCTGTTATGTGAAGTAAATATCAACGTGTAGGAATCTTATTGTTAAACCTACCTGTCACCTTTATCAGGTCCCGAGGGTACAGACACACCCTGGATGGCAGCTGCCAGCATCACATAGTCTGGAGTTTCGGCAGGGATAAAAATATACCCAGTGCCCTGCGACGCCAAAGACTTCACTGTAGGCCAGCAGATGGCAACAAATGACAACTGAGAACTTATAATAATTCCTAAATTGTGAATGAGAGGGTCAATTACCGGATCACGTGGCACTTTGTCGAAGCCGTCTTGGTAATAACCAATTAATGAGTTCTTGAGAGAGTTGGTGGTGAAGCCGTAGAAAGACGTCTTTGTCCCAACATCATCCTCAAACCCTTGGATTATTGCCCCATTTACCCTATAAATAATGATCATTATTATTAGCATCATGGTTGTGCTGTCATATGTAAGAATTTTCATGTAACAAGCACTTTTTTATTGCCAGGGTACAGAACGGGTGGTAACAAAACCTCCCACAACTTCCTAAACTTGTCTATGAAAGCCTGTAGACCAGGGCTATTCAGTTAGCTTCATTTGAGGGCCGGATTACTGAATTGAAAATTTGATGTGAACCAAGGGGGTGGGGGCCTATAAAATGAGAAATTAAATTGAAATGCACATTGAGCAGTAAAATGAACTGATATTAACAACAGTAACTATAAAAAGGTATGATTTTATAGGCTTAAATCAAAGTATTCTGACCAGTGTTGGGGTAACGCATTATGTAACATGAGTTAGGTAATCAGATTACTTTTTCAAGTAACTAGTAAAGTAACCCATTACTTGTAAATTTACAACAAAATATCTGAATTACTTTTTCAAATAAGGAACGCAAGTTACTTTGTTTTCCCATTTATTCACTGGCACCTCTCCTCTCTCTGTGTTGAGACAAATCAGGAGTGAGGTGCAGAGGCTTCAGCCTGAGGCTTATTAATTTCACTTTTGGTGTTAAAGGCAGTGGTCAAAAATAATGATATTTTGGGTTTTTGTTATTAAAAGACAAATAAGCAAGCACAGCCCAGGTGACAAAAAGTAACGCAAAAGTTTTGCATAAGGCATTACTTTCTGTAAAAACCATCTAAGTAACGCAATTAGTTACTTTTACTTGGAGTAACGCAATATTGTAATGCATTACTTTTAAAATGAACTTTCCCCAAAACTGATTCTGAGGTTGAGAACCACACGTAAAACCATGCATGGCTCCGCACTATCGTGCTTAAATGTAACTATGATTATGGTTACGGTAAACTATATTTGTTTTAAAAACAGTAGTCTAAACACAGGTGGAAAACTACACACACACACACACTATACAAACAAATGTTCTATAAACAAAGGCATAAAGAAAAATATAGAAAAACTCAGAAAATCTGGCCACTTAAAAAACACTATATGCCAAAAAGTATGACAAATACACCCTTCTGATTTATGGTTTTGGCTATTCCAGTAACTGCAGTGAAAACCAATCTTAATGCAACACCCTACAATGACATTCCACGGTTTTGATGACGCGATTCTATTATTACAGTACATACTACACATACTTCTGGAGTGCGCTAAACAGTAGCGATAAGAAACAGGCAGGTTTGAAACGTTGTGCTGCTGTGAACCCATCTGAGCTCTTTGAGCACATGGCTTATTTTATTGGAAGTCCACAGTGTTGACAGCACTTTGATTTATTGAGTGATAAAAAGGGATATAGGCCTACAAACTCCACCCTGTATGTCAATAAAATGAAAGAAATTTAAACTTGGCTTTATGTAATGTCCAGATTTCTGTTCTGGAAATGTATGCAAATTTGTTTATATTTAATTAGATAATGTGTCATTTGCATATTTAAGAAGCATATTTCCGAAAACTTGAAATACAAAATTGTCTAAACGTACTGCGATTAATCAAGTGGGGGATTAATGGCGATTAATTAATCAATCAGATCATTCTTTTGTCAGACTCCTTATGCATACAAAAATTTCCCTGGATTATTATAATTAATGACAGAAAGAAGGTTTGGAAATTATAAAAGGGTGTAACAATAGTCATGTCACGATTCAGTTCAATATACAATACTGCTACTCTCACCATACGTAAAATGGTTTGTTTGTTAAACAGTGAACAAAGTCCTGTTCATTAAAATGTTAAATTTGGTGTTTCATCAGAAATGGACTTAAATATGTTTGGACTTCTGCCCCATCACAGGGCATTGGTGACACCAGAAAAGAAATATGCATGATTCTGCTTAGCTAAAAATACAGAATTATGTACTCTGTCTCTGACTACATACATTTGAAAAAAGTTAGAAATATTGTCATTTATGAAATAATGTTATATTTTACTAATAATTAATAAACATGGAAGGTCAAATGTGTGACCATCTAGGTTTACTATATTTAATGCACCATTTATGGTTTAAGTTTTAGAAATTTCAGTACAACACAAGATCAGGAATAAAGCATAAATCACTGCGACATCTTTTAGGGGCCATTTTGAAACTATTTATTTAAAAACGACTAAAATAACACAGGAAAGTGATACAATAAACAAGCATGCACAACATAAAAAAAAAAAAATCACTCGTCAATACAAGTACTGTATATCAAAAAAGGAAAAGCTGTTTAGCAAAAGTAGGCTTGAATGCAAATCAGTATGCTACAATAAACAGACCCCTCATTTTCTAGTAATCAACGCTCGATGCAAGTCCAACGCTAACCTTTGAATGACGCTCATTTTTTCATTCATAAGAGAGATTGCATCTAATGCTAGTCTTCCATCCGCTCGCATTTTACGGACTTCATTAGCCAACTCTCTGGTATCCCTTTGCATTGCATCAAGTCTATTTATCACCTCAGCGAAATCAGCTCTGCTCCGCTCCATACTCAAACGAAGCATCTTTGCGATGGATTGATAACCAGCTGCCACTTCAATTCGGATGAGACGTAAAAAGTCGCTCTGGGTGAGATTGACAGAACTACTATTGCCGGGTTGTCGAACAGCACGTTGGCGTTGGGTGTTGCGGCTGGACTTTGATAACTCATAAGCCTCACAAGCAGCCATTTCACCATTGATCCACAGCTCGGCACATCTCGCGTCGTAGTCTGGTAGAACTGTGAAATGGAAGATTCATTTGTATTGGCAGCATGCAATCATTTAAATACACAATCATTACGGATGATTATTACATACATTCTTTCCTGCTATCTTCCGATGTTCTCAAACGCCGTTTCACAGGAACATCAGAGCGGTCTTCTGATTCTCTCGCCCGCTTTTCCCCACATCTCAAGGTGGATGCGTTGCATTCGTCAGACTTGTGCTCAAGACTCTGGGTTGTTGTTGTCTGGGTCTCTGCTACACCTCGGTCACAAAGCTCAGACCCACTGTTACTGGCACTCAAAGGTACCGATACCTCCGTTATTAAGTTATCTGGGGCTGCTGTTTTATCAGGTGCGCATGACGATGAGGCACCTGATGGTGTAACAAGCTGACCTTGAGTTGTATTCTCTTCGCCATTTGTTAGAAGACGAGCCTTGTCAACTGAAAACAGAAAAAGCCTCTTGTTTAGCATATTGTGTAGCCTACTAAAACAGCTTAACCCTCATAACACTTTCAAAATCTGTAGGCCTACACGATTTTCACATTTTGGGTCGTTGTTTAACAAAACAGTCATAACCTAATTTTTTCAACAAAAACCATATTGTATCTGATCAGCAACTTTCACTGATGAGTGAATGTGAAACATCTTGAAGTTTTGAATGTTACCTTATTACTAGGCTACTGCAATTACCCCTTTTTGATTAATTAAAAAATTAGAGATCTTATTTGAAATTTCAGTTACACTTTATTTTAAGGTGTTCTTGTCACAGTGTAATTACATTTAAGTACCGCGTAATATTAATTAACTACATGTAGGCTTACTATAGGCCTATGTTTAGGGTTTGGCTTAGGGTTACTTGCATGTAATTATGCATAATTAATTTTTATTATAAAAGTACATGTAACAAGGACACCTTAAAATGAAGTGTTACTGAAATTTATAAGAACATATAATCTGAGAATTACCAGTATTACACCGTGTCCTAACTACACGCGACGTGACGTCGCGACACGCGACAAAATCTTTTCCATGTTAAGCCCCGTTCACACCGCCAGCGACACAGCGACAGAGCGACATAATCCCATTCATTTTCAATGGAGAGCTGGCGACTTCCGGCGACAGTGACTGTTGGCGACGGAATGTGGGCGTGTCAAGCGATGCGAGTCAAGCGACAAAAGTTCAGAATTCTTCAACTTTATGCAAATAAGCAGCCAATTTCGCGAGCGACAACCAATGGGATTGAAGTCAGTGGAGAGCACGTGATTCATCTGCTGTAGTGGAGTGTTACGGGGTAACTAGGCAACCAGTAGTAATCCCATTCATTGTCAATGGAGAGCTGGCGACTTCCGGCGACAGTGACTGTTGGCGACGGAATGTGGGCGTGTCAAGCGATGCGAGTCAAGCGACAAAAGTTCAGAATTCTTCAACTTTATGCAAATAAGCAGCCAATTTCGCGAGCGACAACCAATGGGATTGAAGTTCATTTCAATGGAGAGCTGGCGATTTCTGGCGACACGAGCGACAGTCGCCAACGATGCGACGCGACAGTCCAGTCCAGCGACGTGACAAAGTTCAGAATCCTTCAACTTTATGCAAATGAAGAGCGACTTTCGGGAGCGACAGCCTATAGGAAAGAAGACGGTAGAGCTCATGTGATCGTTCTCCTCTCAGCGCCGTAGATAAACATGCGTATGGAAGAAATGGAAGAAAGTAGGCTCTGTTTTTCATTCATTTTTGTTTGTATGTACGGATTTAATTTAGATTTAGACTATAGTTAGTCTTTTGCCTCCAAAATGTTTATACTTAGCGGCAAGAAACCTGATTCGCTGTCAAGGCAACCAGTATTGAGAACGCCCACTAGCAACCACATCGCCAGCCCCTGGCGACATGCAGTCGCAGACAAAAGTCGCTGCTAGTGTGAACGGGACTTTAATCAGAGTTTTTGTCCTAACTAGCCAAGCGACGGCGACACGCGAAATTTCTAACTTAGAAACGGTTTCTATTTCCGCGACGTCGTGGCTGGAACAACAACATACAAACTACATATAATTTCAGGTGATTATGTGCCTTATTCAAAGTTAAACGTGTCTAATATGAGTTTAAATATCATTTTGCTTGACCTTATAGCCATACTGAAAGCAACAACAGATCTTGAAAATAAATTAAAGCAAATATGTCCATTAAAACTGTGAATTCACTGCGAACCGAGTGTATTCCATGACAAAGATTTTATCAGTCACTCAGTATGTACATTTAATGATGTTAAAAAGGTTTAATATTTATGAATTAGATTATAAAT